CAGGGAACCACTCGTTATAAATCTCCTAACTGTGATATTTTCAGAAATAGAAGTCGCGTTTTTTCATCTGAAACGTGCTGTGATTTATATTCCAAAGCCACTCATATAATGCAGAAACACTCAAGCAAGCAAAACACGCGCAACGCGTGCGCATATTTGTACTGATGCAGAATGAGAGGGACAAGTACAGTACAACCTAGCGCATTTCACACAGGCTAGTTTCACTTTCGCCAGAAAGTCGTGTATGCCTAAGGTTGAAAATAAATTATGTTTATAGTGAATGCCCCTATAAATGGTCTTATTTTTACGATTTAGTTTTAATCCAAATGATGCGTGTGCTGAGTGAACATCAAAGATCACACAACAAAAGTGCGCGCTCTCGCTCTCTACCGTTAAGTAACTTCTGCATTGTTTTACTTACTTCTTTTTGACGTATCCGACCGAACTACAAACTTTCCAGTGATGTCTGTGAGAAAGGTATATTCACTCGACAAGCTCGCGCATCTGCGCCGCCGCGCGCTCAATCCACTCATTTGTTCCGTGCTTTGTTTATCAGCTCGCGCACATCAGCTATACAGGCGTTAATACTGAATGTTTAACGCTATATTCATTGCATACATATACTTCGTAGTAGACATCCTTAACTCCATTCTGCTGTCTGTTGTTCTGCTGTGGGTGTTTCTTTGTCTGAATATGGCACTTAACACATGCTGTGTGTGAGGTATCGGCATTTGGTATCGGGGCATGTTAACGAGTACGAGTACATGAGCTCAGTATCGGGCCAGTATCGGTGCATCCCTACCTATTACGATCGGATTAGTAGGGTCCATGTAAACGCAGCTACTGTCATTCTAAAGCTTTTTAATAACCCAAAACATAAGCAAACAAAACAGCACCACATTCCGTTCCAGAAATCCTGATAAGCATTTTATCACCTTTCCTCCTGGTTTGGACCTCTCTTTTGGACGATGGATGAGCAGTGGTTGGTCCAGTTCCTTTATGGTGATGCCATAGTTCTTTCTGTGCATATAAAAAGCTAATCAGAAAATTGACAAAACAAACAATAAAACAGTAATTTGTCACTCTAAACTAGCATATATCTGTCTCTGCTATTAAAATGAGCTATTGTTTATGAATGTATGAACTTTAGCAATGTCATGTGCATCGTATAAAACCAGTTATACAAGTTACGGTCCAGCTGTTATGTCTTTTACATGCATTCAGGTCTTAAATCAGAGAAGCGGGTTCTCCACATAGCAGATGAACCTGTAGTAATCGACAAACGTGGTCACGGTTCCGTCAGCCAAGGTGAAAGTGTCTTTGGGAGACTTGGACCACTCGATGTCATCGATACGGTAAGTGCGGTTATTATAGCGCGTGATGACGATTGAGCCGACAAACTCCTTTGTGCATTCGTCCTGAAAGCTCTCACGACTTCCCTGGTAAATCAGGTTCCTACAGCAGACACACGGTTATTCAGAGAGAGCAGGGTTAAGCAAATGACATGATTTTAGCCTAAAATTTAGCATGCATTTCAAACATTTTATACAGATGAGTTCTGATCCAAAACCTATGAGCTGCATTGCTGTCTAACACTCACAGCAGATCAGACAGTCTCTGAGCTCCTGGCTGCTACTCTATATCACATGATGCTGTCTGCACTTCCATTCCTAGTCACTGCATTGTTGCATTGTGAAAAACGCTGCTTATTTTCATAAAGTTGAGCTCTGCTTGTCACATCACCAATGGTCTCTAACACTTGCGTCAACATAAATGGCATCTTAACTGAAATGAACTTCATATGCAGGTCAGTTTAGAATTTTGTTAATTTGAATAAATTTTTTTTAATGCCACGTCAGCATCAAATGCTATCTGATGGCAACAACAGAGTAATGACAAAAAAACAAATTCTGAAAGAATTTAGATAAACCATGTAAAAGATCTTTCATTCTAATATTTCAACCCAGTTTATGAAGTAATGATGCATTACTTCAATAAGTGCATAGTATATAATGTTTGGGTGCAATAGTCAATCTTTAATTAGATTTTGGATTTTTTCATCCATACCACTCTGAACTAAATGAAATACTCAATTTCTCTCACTTCGTCTACTATATTAGATGAGGTTTTTTTCACTGAGCTTGTGGCAAAGAATATTGCTATTGTCTTCGCTATGAATGATTAGAAGCAATGCTCAATGCTGCACTAGAATTTGGCCAATTTTTAAAACTGTATTTTATTAATATATTTTTTATTAATTAATCCTATATAATACTACAACAATAACACTGGTAAAATAATTTTGATTAGCACACAAAAAAAACTGCTTTAGTGATGCACTTACAATTTAAGTGAAACTGGCAATGCTTAATGCTGCACTAGAATAAGTTTTATTAATAATCAAAAAATAAACCAATTTATTTAAAAAATACATAGTTTTCCTTTTTTCTAGATTGGCTACTCACTAGATGTTGGAACAGCTTTGAAGTGGAACGAAACACAGCTGACAAAGTAGCACTGATTCATACATGTGGGCATGTCAGAATGATTGATTACAACTGAAACTCACATCACATCCAGCACAGAGTCATTTCGCAGCACCTTATGCGAGACGTCCACAATGAGGTAGAGGCCGCCATCAGTGTGCTTGATACTGGTGGAGTATCCAGGCCACACCTGAAGCCTGATGGACACGCATTTACAAACACAGTTAGGTACAAACTATCACAAGAATCCTGGACAGAGAATCAATATGCAAAGCATTATTGCAAGTGGTGCTGAAACGGTTCAAACACATCCAGTAAACATAGGTCAGGTGGCAAAATACTGAATCTTGAGTCGATGTGAAACCAAACAAGGTGGAGCACAGCAATTCTGGTTGGATCGCAATCACAGACAACAATCAGGTCAGTGCAGAATACCTGTGTTTGCCGAGAATCACTACAGCGTTGGGGTCGTAATGGTTTCTGCCCACCAGCTTCAGCCCCAGTAATTTCATCACTCTAGAACGGAGAGGAAGAATGAGAGGAAAGCAGCAGGAAAAGTCAGATGTCAGAGCTGACTGTCAACAAGTCATTATAGCACAAGACTTCTCTCCTATGCACAGAAAAATTGGAGCAATACTCCACAGGGCTCAACAATATGGCCTGTTTTGCACCGCACGCTCACGCTACAGCAGCAGGCTCACGTTGCGTTTTCACACTGGCAGCGTTTCCCAATACCTTACTGAATATTTGCTTTAATAATGGCCATAAATGATCCAACGGCTCTTGGTAGTCTTTGAGAATTGTTTCGAACTTGATTGTAACAAAAATCTAATTTACAAGAGAGGGGATAACATTTATACTGAAATTCATTAAATTCATGTGCAAAATCCAGTTTTGTTACTGTTAAAGGGATAGTTCACCCAAAAATTAAAATTTGATAATTATCTGCTTACCCCCAGGGCATCCAAGATGTAGGTGACTTTGTTTCTTCAGTAGAACACAAACAGAGATTTTGAACTCAAACCGTTGCAGTCTGTCAGTCATATAATGGAAGTGAATGGGAATCACGGCTTTGAGAGTAAAAAAAAAACATACACAAACAAAACCAAATTAAACCCTGCGGCTCGAGACGATACATTGATGTGTAAAGACACGAAACGATCGGTCTGCGCAAGAAAATGGACAGTATTTATATCGTTTTTTACCTCTGATGCACCGCAATGCCCGAACTGTCCTGAGCGCGTCCTCGACAGCTGGTGCGTGACGCGTCTTCTTCTTGCTTTACGGCGGATCGCAGACTTATAATTGCATTACCGCCACATATCTCTCAAATGGACCTTTGACACTCTATCTTCAATCTCAATTAGGAGTGTCAATGGGGTTTAATTTGGTTTTGTTTGTGTATGTTTTTTTTTACTCTCAAAGCCGTGATTCCCATTCACTTGCATTATATGACTGACAGACTGCAACGGTTTGAGTTAAAAATCTTCGTTTGTGTTCTACTGAAGAAACAAAGTCACCTACATCTTGGATGCCCTGGGGGTAAGCAGATAAACATCACATTTTCATTTTTGGGTGAACTATCCCTTTAACTAAAAACATTAAAAATGTTTCTTTAATGGAAATAGAGCTAAAATAAAATATGAATCTTAAATGAAAAATGTTGCCTTGCCAATAAACGGAAATAAACTAAGCTTAAGTGTAAGTAGTAAAATTACTAAAACTAAAATAAAAATAAAGTTAAATATATGCAAAAGAATTAAGATGAATGGCAAAAGCATCTAACAAAATAACTAAAAATCTTCAATTAAAATTAACTTAAATTAAACATTTGAAAGAAAGAAAGAAAGAAAGAAAGAAAGAAAAATATTCATAATTTCTATAACAGTATAAATAATACTAAAATAACACAGGTGAAATCCTTTTGATTACCACTAAATATTAATTCTAACTTCACGGCAGAATTAACGTATTGCAAATGGGGCCAAATTGTAAATACATTAAATACATTAAAATACTTCCCGTTCAAACAGTATGGCCACAAGATGTAAACATAGGCATTAACATGATTACATTGTGATATATCCCTTTTCTGTTTAGACAATTTTACAACTTTTTTGCCATGACAACCTAATGAGTGAACCTTGTACTGCTGCAAAAACAACAATTTATACTAGGGCTGTCGTGATTTGTCGATTTTATTCGACTATTCTATTTTTAAAAATCCTCGACTTCACTTTGCTCGCATCGTCTAACCGGCAAAATACCGGAAGTGGCTTTTAGTCTGTTTTCCAAGGCTGCATGATATATTAAACTCATTTAAAGATAATTAAGCATAATTGTGAATTCACAAACGCTACGATTTAATTAAATAATTATATGCGATGCAGTTCTAATACAGTATATGCGCTTTAATTATTTACATGCGTGTAGGTTAAGTACATGCGTCACACAGCGGCTCCGTTCTCAGTAGTTCCACAGGAACTGTTATCATTTACATGTGTGTGGAGCGTCTCAAACTCCATCTCTGCATGTTGCTGTGAGTTTGGGTTTATTATAACGTTCATCTGGGAACGCAACGTGCACCATTTCATCAGATTTGTAAGGTAAATAATTTATAAATCTACGCAAACTCAGGAGAATACATAGCGGTTTCAAAATAAAAGCTCAAACCCTCACTCTGAGTTTACTTGTTTTGATGTCCACATATTCTTTCAAATTACAGTGGCTATAGCATTTCTGTCCTAAATAAATGGCCAAATATTAAAGATTAACTTGACATTTGAATTAAATGGTGCATGGTTAATATTAAACAAGTATTAGATCGCACAGCAATGTGTAAAAACAATCATCAGGCCGTTGGCGTTTTTTTCCATTTCCATTTTTCTATACTCCATTTTAATGGTTAAATAAAATTGTATTAATCAAACAGCCTGTCTAATTAATTGAGTTTTACAGTTTTATCTTTACCAAATTCTGTTTTCCATTATTTT